GTCCTGAACCTCGAGGGCTAGTGGGGAGGCCCGCCCCAGGATCTGGCCCTACCGCATGCATCCAGGTGTGCGGGACCTATCGGGTCGGGCCCAATCTCCAGGCCTTGCTCTCTTCTCCCCCCGCCCCCCATCCTCCCCACCTCGGGGTGGAGACTCTCCCAGCCCCAAAGTTCCGAGTGGGGAGGAGAGTCTGGGGAAGAGCGCGGAGATGCCCCCTTTGCTTGAGTGCGAAAACACACCCACTCACACTCGCATCGCGCCCTGCACACCCCAGCAGGCAGTCTGCCTCTGTTCCCCGGTCAGGGACTGACCGGGAAAGCGGGTTGGGGCTGTTGGGAAAAGCTGGAGCTGATGGCGAGATTGCCGCGGCTATAAATCCATCACTTCCCAGGTCAGCTCTGCGAGGCGCTGGGACTAGAGCTGGCGGAGTGAATTCCTGGGCCAGCGCGCATGCGTCGGCAGGTAGCAACCCAGCTCTTTATGACCAGGTGAGATGTTGGTGAGCAGGTAAAAAAGGAGGATTTGCCTAAGCGATTCCAGGGAGCGGGCCCGGCCGAGCCCTACAGCCCATGCCCGGCGGGGACCCGTCGCCAGGAGCGCCGAGCCGCGATGTCCATACTTGCCAAAATGGGGGACTGGCAGGTACGGGGGTTTGCCTTGGCTGGGGCTGAAGTGGGCGGGGGTGGAGCGGGGGAGGGGGTCGGGCGGGGGGGAGGCGGAGAGGAAGAGCCTTGGCCCAGGGCAGGAGAGTCGTAAGTGAGGCGCGCCTGGCAGCGCCCAGGAGTGTTCCCAGGAGAGAAAGGGCAGAAAAAACACGCGCTGCCGGCGGGCCCGGAGCTGAGGAAAGTCCGGCGCACGCTCCACAGGTGGCCCCGGGGGTCACTTGTGGTTTGCGCTGCGGCCTTTCACGCCCCCCCCCCGTAGAAACAAGGGTGGATGACTAATTCGGGAGGGGGAAGGGCGCGGGGCGGGGGTTGCAGCGCGTGGTAAGGAAGGTTCACTACTCCGTACGCCTCCGTTCTTGCCCTAGACCCCAGGACTACGCATGAGGTGGGGTTCTGGTGCACCTGTCTCTCTTTCTGTCTCCAAGTTTGGGGGACCTAGTGGGTGTGGAGAATGGAAAGGGATCCGGATGGACGGGTCGCGCCCGCGAGAATGTTCTTTGGGGAAATACTTAAAAGAGTTTGCCCAGAGTTTAGCCTCTCTCTCGGTCCGAGTCGTGAAGCCAGTTTTCCTCGCTTGGGCTATAGATTGGGGTGACTGGATGAGGGGTGAATGGTGGGTGATAAGGCAGGTCCAAGATTTGCCGAAACCGACGTCTGCCGAACTCGGCCCGGCTAGGCCTCGGGTACCACAAGGCCAATTGGGCCCTTGATCCTGCCCCCCCTTGAGTCCTGACCCCACCCCGGCCACAGGAGCATTCTTCCGGCTCTCTCCTAACTTCCAGAGATTTCCCCTATGGAAACCAGGGCAGCTCCGGCCAGGCTGGTGAGGGTAGAACCTCTCCTCTGTCGCCGATTTCCTAATGGGAACCGCGGGACCCTCTTCCCCCCACCCCCCACCCCCTGGCATAGGGAGGCCTGGTTAGGGCGAGATTCTGTGTGCCTAAAAGCCTGCAGGGCAATTTGAACCGAACGCAGGGAACTTCCCACAGAGAAGTCGAGGCTCTGCCCTTTCTGGGACGAGTTCTTTTTCATGTTTCAGATTTGTGCCATTAGAAATAAAGTTCAGAGAAGTCCTGTCTTTACTACATTCTTGGAGTTGGGGAAAGGAAACTGTCTTGCAATTTTTATTTCTCTCCTTGTATTTATTATTTTTGTTAACCCTGAACTCTTTTATACCTCTCCTCCCAATTAAACCTCCCTAAAATGCAATTTCATCCCCAAAGTTAGACTGACTTTGTTGTTTAAGGATGCAAATCCCACACCAAACACAAATGTTGGGAATCCCCACTTTCCCCCCCTTGCCCCAGTGGGCCTCAGGGCCCTTCTTCCTTCTTTTCTCTGGAGGGTGTAGACTGGGGGAGGTCTTTAGCTGAGGTCTTTGCAGTTTTCTCCACAAGCCGAGTGGACCTCTCAGCCGAGCTCCTCGGGTCTGAGAAGGTACCAGTAGCGCAGGATCAGCCTGCGTCTGAGCTTCTAAAGGGCCTACGGTTCGGTCGCAGTGAGAATATGGCCCAAAGGGGAAAGGAGCGAACCCTGGGCCTGGCTCCTGCGGGCTCACAGTTTGGCAAGTGGCGGGAAGCCTGCCTCTCGGGTGGGGCATGTAGATTTGGGGCCTGGAGGGGCTGGATCCTTCAGGCTTGGCCTGTTGGGCCCTCAGGTCCCACTGAGTGGTGACAACCAGAGAAAATAGTCATTCAGGCCCCTTGCTGTCTCTTTGTTTCTCTCGGTGTCTCTGTCTCACACTGATACTCATTTTTCCCTCCAATGGCCTCTCCACACCCCCACTTCAGGCCTGGACCCCCGACCTGTAGCCCCAGGCCTGGCGCTACTGTCCCGGGGTGCTGGTGGGGCTGGAGCATTGACATGCAATGAAGAGACTTGTCGTGGTAATGACGTTCCCACAAACGCCGCTCGGCTGGCTCCAGGGTCTACTGGGGCGCTCGCCTGGGCCTTTCTTCATCGCCCAGAACTCCGACGGTGGCGCAGAGTTCGCAGGCGGCAATCTGCACCTCAAAGGCACCCTCGGCGGGAATACAACAACAGTTTAGCAGCCCTGGCGGGTGCGGAGCCACAAATCTACAGGGCATGGGTCAGCGAGGGGGTGGGGGGTGGGTGGAGAAGATGAAGGGCCTTGAATGCCTTCCCCAGCCCACAAACTGAAAGAAAGAGAAACTTGGAAGTTCCCTTAAGCACAGTGTGGCGACGTCTGAGGGTGTAAAAATCCCACGCTCCCAGGCCTAGGATTTGGCCTACAGATCAGGCTCTGCAGCTGTGGCCACTTGCTGGGAAGGTGTAAATGCTCCAGGCGGCCCATCTCCCGACTTGAAGACAGTGCGTTGGGCAGCGGGCCCGGGGGCAGCCCCTCAGGTGCTTGGTGCGAGTGCTGGAAGTTGACCATTTTCTGGGTGGAGCGTGGCTCCTAACCGCGGGCTGTGTTTAGCCAGAGAACTGTGCTAGTGTTCAGGTGGGGAAAGGAGTGTAAGGCAGTGCCCAGGGGAGGGTGTCCCTCATGCTCTGAATCTCCCTTCCATCTCGAGTCTTTTTCCTAACTTTTGGGAGGGCCTCTGGCCTACTCTGCCTGGCTTGGGGCATTTGCTGCAGTCATCCAGAAGGAGAATTGCTCTTCTGCAGATGGGGGAGGGGGAGGAGGTGGTCCTCCCTCCTCTTGCCTTCCTTCCACCTGTTAAGAAATGCTGGGATTTGCAAGCTCCTTTACCCCTCTGCAAGGACACACCATGGAGACCCGGAGGCCTGGAGATTTGCAAGAAACAGGCCTAGGTGGAACCAGAAGTCGTTCCTAGAGCAACTCTGAGGCCGACCTACTGTTGGTGAGTTTGCAGTATTCAAGAGGGAGAAAGACACACAAAAACTTTTTTATGGAGGACAAATGAGAAGCTCAGCCAGAGAAATTAATTACTCTGTATTTCGAAGGATTACGTCAGGTCTTTCTTTTTAATTTCTTCTTTAAAACAATTCACTAAAACAGAAGAAAAAAATATTTAACGCCCTGGTGAGGTGAGCAGGTCCCTGCATGGAGCGGGAAAGCCTGGACTGGCCAACCTGGACTAGGGGGTGGCCCCCAGGCCTCCGGGTTCTGCGGCAGCCGGGCACTGCGCCGCCAGCGCGCCCGCTTTAGTAACATCACCAAATCATGAAGGAACTCTCCCTGCTTTAATTAAAAAGGGGGATCTTGGGAAAACTGGAGCAGATTAGCACAGCGAAGAGTTGCTTCCCAGCGATTTATTTTGATGCATGCATGACACGGAGCACACATGTTGGTGTTTCCGCACAACTCCAGGAGCGACTGTGAGTCTCCGTATGAGTTCTGTTATTTTGTCCACATCGCACCTAGGAAACCCTTAGCCCCAACACCACGTTGAATTATCAGTCAGCCCTAGCTTCACACAAACGAGAGGAAAATCATTTAACCCCTGGAGCTGTCAACTAACCTCTTCAGGGTACAATTTTTATTTTACACGCGGCAATTAAAGGATCGCAAACCCCAGCCGAGCGACTGGAGCCTTTTGGCAAAATCTTCAACCTGGGGGTGGGGGGGGGGGGTGGGGGGGTGGGAAGCGCAAAGCCAATAAAACTCCCAAGGCGCTGCGGCCCGAGGTGGTGGCTGCCGCGAGCGGAGGCGATCTCTTGTTGGGCAAAAATCCTGGAGTGACTTTGCCGGTCTTGGTTTGATGATTATATTTAATTGCGAAAGGGATAATAATTTCTAATAAAATTGGACGGGGCCGCAAGGACAGCGCGGTTAGCGTTGGCAGGGGTGAGGGAGAGGTGCTGAAAGCCGGGCCCCAGGCGCAGCCACTTGGACCCTGCACGGTGCCGGGTTTTTGCGGAGGGCATCTCCCTCGAGGAGGAGACGGAGGGGAACAGGAGAGGGGTGGAATGGCGCGACGGGGGGCCTGGGGGTGGCTGGGGCCGGGGCGCGCGGCTGGTCTCAGGGGAGATTTCGTCGGCTCACGGGCAGGCGTGCTCTCTAGGAGCAAGTTCGCGGCTCGGAGAGGCCTTTATACCTGGGTCGGAGCGGCGGGCCGCGGATTGCGGTGCTGGCGAGCAATTGGACTATTGTTGATATGCTAATGAGGCGATTAGGCTGTTGGTAAAGAGCTGGAAAAAGGAAAAGTTTCTACCATTAGAGGGAGATCTCCGAGCGCACACGGGAGCTCGTTCGCTTCTCGCCTCCTCCTCCTCACCCTCCTCCTCCTCCTC